GTCCTTTGGTTCAAAGTGAGACCAAGACTTTGGCTTCATTTGAGTGAGCCTGCAGGCACTGTTAAGAGGTGCTTTAGCACAGATAAAGCAGGAAGAAACCACAATTTTGCACTTCATCCTCTATCCTCCAAACAGATGTTCATCCCCAAAAGGTAACCCTGCCCACCCTGCAGAAAATGAATCTAGAAATATTGCTCAATAACCAACAATACAAAATAAACCAAAGGTAGAACAGAGAGGAGCCAAAGGAAAAAAGTGAAAGTTTGAACATCTATGCTACAGAAAAATCTGTCCCCGTTCATCCACCCCAAAGAAATCTTCTTCCAGACAATATCTCTCCTTGTCATCACCCACTTCGTAAATCAAATGTGATTCTGTGTATAATACAACTGATATTATAAATGTACCAAGCTGCTTTCTGCTTACTTGCCACTATATTTAACTCATTCAGAACTGTTTTCTCCGAATCCCTCAGCTCTGCAACTTTCAATAAAAAAGAAGCAACACTTAAGTTGTGTTCTGTGTGTGATTCCTAGGAAGAAAGTGACGAAGGAGACTATTTTACTTTTTACAAACATTATTTAGAGCTATAGTATAGCAAAGAATCAGAGCTAACTTGCTTGCCTAAAACCATAGGATTGGAAGTCTCAAACATCAGCATAGGCAACAGGATTAAGGCACTCTGCTACTTGGGCACAAACTGCATTATTCTAAAATATTTTATCCCTAATTGTTTTTTTCTTCTGAATTTACAGTATTTATAGCATTCTATTTTCACTTCCATTTCTATGGATCATAAAGACTTTATATAAATTTCATTGGAAAATTTTTAGTTCAAGATGCACACCGAGACTGAACTTAGGGTGGGGGAATGCAAACAGAAAGAAAGAAGCTAAACTTATGAGAATCTGAACACTCTAACTTTTTATTCAGTTTGTTTCAAAATAGTAATATTAATCTAATAGTGAAATAGTTTGATAAAACAGCAATCAACATTTAAAGTATTTTATGTTTCAAAGTATGGCTCAAGGAACACCCATTGCTTAAATGCACTTAGACATAACAAGACAATATTTTTTTATTGGCATCATTGACACCTATGGACAGTAGCCTAGTAGATAGATTAAGGTTTAACCTTCCTTTTCTTTGGTGGCTATTTAGAGACTTTAAAAGAACAGATAACTCATTTCAACAGGAATCTACTACTGATATTTACCTCTACATAATCTTTAGCTAAGACATGGAATGCCAGAAACCAGCTTTTGTTAGCCTGACCTCCTCCACGCCCTAACAACAAAAGTTATCCCCAAACCCATGTTTTTATTTTAGATGTATTGATCTTCTAGTGTAAGATGTGGCCTTTTAAATACCAAATGCAATCAATGGCCAACAACCTGAATCCTCCTGGAGAGTGAAAAGAAGCAGAATAGAGAAATTTCTTTAAATTGTTTGGTGACTTTGTACAAATTTTAAGAGGTCAGTAAATCCTGATGCTTGGAGCTAAATCTACTGGTAAATAATTAATTACATTTCTTAGACACTATAGTCTTTATCTTGGTAAATAGAGAAAACACAGCTTCGCCAAATATAGCATTCCATCTAAGTAATATCTTAAAGGCAATTATTTAAATATTACCACAAACAGGATTATATTTTGTTTAAATTAGACATTTAACTGAAGATAAATGCAAATGTCCATAGTTTAAAGAGGAAAAAAAATACAAATTAACTGACCTAGTCTTTTATCTGAGTTTATTAATACCATTTAAAATATTACAAATAAATCAATTACATTTCATGCATTTAAAATGCAAGTCTAAAATGTTCCAGAGAAAGGCTTTTCATTTCAATGTGAAATATCTAAATTATTTCAACATTACAATGAGCAATTAGTTTGCAGAATCTGCAAACATTTAAATGTAGTGTCAGGAGTGTTTATTAACAGTTAACAATATTACCTTTAGGAAATACACAAAGGCCAAAATTAGTTGAGATTCACTTGGACAATTTATTTAACACATGGGTTTTGGCAGACCCAGTTATTATGAAATATAGGTGAACTCTCACTTTAACTATGCCTGAACTGCCAGCAAATGCAAATAAGTACATGCTCCATTAAATTAAGTGTCATCCCACATTTATCAAATATTGTCTTAGTTACAGTTTGATACCTATCTAAATTCATACTCGAGCAAAACTAGGCCCGGAAAGTGCGTTTGTGGCTCTGCACCTCCAGAAGTGAGTTCAAAAAACCTGCAGCTCATCAGAACTGCAAGAATAACTCTTAATATTTTCTTGTGACAAAAAAAAAAAACAAGTTTACTTCAATATATTTTCAAATATTTACTGGAAGTAATGTACAAGAAAAATACTATACAAAATCGTCTCCTGGACAACTGCACCTCGCACCCATACATTGGTGGAGTTATAGTTAATTGATACCTAATCTAGAACGATTCTCCAGTTGTACAAACCATTAGGTTCAGATATATCTTACAATTTTTTTTTCTATTTTCACTTTTGGCATTTAAACTACAGCCTCGTCTGAAATAAACGACAGCTTCTTCACTTCTTTATAAGTTTGAATCACACACACAAAAAAAGTTTAACCCTAAGAAACTTCAACGAATTGCAAAAATTTACAGAAATGGGTACTATACAAATTGACGGCTAGACTAGCAAAAAAAAAAAAAAAAAAAAAAAGGAGATTATGCTCGGGAGTGGTGAAAACGAGGTAGAAAAGAACAAACACGGAGATAGTTAATCTGGTGTCACCGGAAAGGGGTATTTTTGCATAAGAAAAAGACACCTACCCTCACCCCCACCCCCAACCCCAACCCATAAGTTAAGTTAATGCGATCAAAATAACTTTGGGATCAATATTAGCAAAGTTTCGAGAGAAAGACTTGCTCACTGCTAGAGGAAAAGCTATCTAGAAGGGAAACCAAATGGAAGGATGCTTTTTTAAAAAATTTTCTTTATTTTTTTCTTTTTCATTAAAAAAAAAAAGTTATAAAGATAAAAGAAGGCTGCTGCATCGATTCACCAAGACTGCCCTTAGCTGAAACTTGCTTCGGTTCCACCCCAAGGAACAAAGAAAAAGAGGCAGAGCTGACGTCGGAGAGCTAAACTAGGAAACTCTGGTCTCGGTGCCGCCAGACGGGCTCCCGACGGCTCTGCGCAGGACAGGCAGCGGCGCGCAGCTGCAGGGCAGGGCGCTCCGCAGCCTAGACGCCCAAGACTGAGGTTCTGGTACCAAGTCGCTAGCCCGGGAGGGCGGGGGGAGGCCATGGGTGGGCCTACTGCCTCGCCCTCCCCACGGCGCCGCTCAACCTTGCTCAGCCTAGTTGTTACCGCACGTGCGGAGGCCCCC